TCAGAACAGAATGTTTTAACATTCCAAGTTAATCTTTTCGGCAATGATCATCGCTCAAAAAATCAATATCAAAATAATGTATATCAAAATAATATCAAATATCAATAATATCAAAATAATGTATTATAATATACTATTTATAATATACTACTTTTAGATTTTTAGAAAAAGATTTCTAAATAGAAGCTGTGGATTAAGTAATATTAAAAAAGTTCTATTTAAGTATTCAAATACCAAAACAAGTTTTTATAAAGTTGAAATTGAAAGAGATTCAATGTAGAAAATTTCGATTATTCATTTTAAATCATCACTTTTGCAATAAGCTGCGCTAAAAATATCAATGATGCAAAGCCCACACATATATATAAGAACAGAAATATTCGCTTTTGCGTGTTATGATTGCTAGGTTTTTTCTACATCGTCTTTTGGAATAATTCATCATGATTCATGTCTTTGATGACTCATCTCCTCTTTTTTTTTGTTTGTCATATATCCGTTAGTCCGACGAAGACCGATTAACGAAGAAATGAAAGGAGTGCTATCGGAAATTATCGGAAGTTTATATGGTATCCAGATAACATACACGGAAACGATATATCTAGAGGTCAGATTTTTCTCGGCAGTCAACTGCATACGTCTGTATTTAATAGTATAAATAGTGATTCAACGCGTTCAGTGTTTAGTATATAAGAAGTATCTGATACGATATGATCGCGCGAAGAGACAATTTTAGTCTGAACATTTCTAAATATCTTCTTCAAGAATATTTGCAGTTCGCATCGTGTTTTTATCTCATTTTTTGTTATAAAATGCTACAATAATCACCAAAGAAAAATATTTCTCTGCGTCGATGAAGGAACAACATCGGCAGGTAGTTTCCGAAATCCGGATTATTTTCTTTGCTGTATATCGAGTGCAGAAAAGGGTGAATAAAACAACTTCGAATAAACGATATATCATTTACATCATTACGAGAAATACGGTACCCTATAATATACGAATAATTTATCGAAAGGACATTAAATAACACAATGATATTAAATTTTGCGGAGGGAAGGAGAGAAATACGAGACGCTTAAGCGAGACATGAAATGCAAAGAATCTTGTTATCGTTAGAAATGATGAGCCTACTGCATCATGATGAATCTTAAGTTACATCAAGTTGCAAATTCATTTGTGATGCGTCACGTGAAACGAAAAATTATTGTGAGAAAACGTTCACGAGCAAAAATTTAAAATTTATTGTTTAAAAATTTAAAAGTTAGTTTAACGAAATTTGCAATGCAAACTTTCGGATAATATAGATGTATTTCAATAAAATTTTATTGGAAAAAATAAAAGATACATATCCTTCTCTAGGTGCATTTTTTGGTATACTAAAAAAGTAACATCTAAGAACGCTTACTTAGACAAATCCAAAAAAGTTTAAAAAAAAAAATGCAAATATTGTAAATGAAGTAAAGGATTTTTATGAAAAAAGAAAAGAAAAAGAAAAAAAATGAAAAATGAATACAGCATTCAACATTCCCTGAACAATTCCACTCGGGATATAATAAAATTTCTTGAAAAGGACCTTGTTTGGGTATAACTTATCTCTTCTCAGGTATAAAATCCTCGCATATAAAAACCTCCAAGATAGAAAATTTGCTTTCCGTTCTCCAATTTTCACAATTAGAATTCTATTCATCCTTGTAATTTGAAAGTTAATTTGGAAAATATTCGACATAAGCGATCAGTGAGATTAGTGAGAAATAAATAGAAATAAAGCGTCCTGCATCGGGGTATGACACATTCTGGATATCTACCTACAATAATAATTGAAAGTAGAGGAAGGGGACAGTCATGATAAACAGAAGACGATCGCGCCAGCATATCTTGCGGTCTCCTTAGCGCGGTCTTTCATCGGTTACTTCATTGGCCAATCGTCGAACTGATTAGGCACGTACGAACTCGCTAGCTCTTTTCCTGGTAGCTCAATTCCTTCATGTTCCTTTGGGCTGTGAGTATAAACCGCTGTGCTCGAGAATAAGGATTATTACGCTTGCTCTGTGATTTCTGAGCTTGAGTGGGGAGAAATTTGCTTATTCAAAAGAGAATTATCAGTGACAAATTATTTTAGCCGTGCGGGTAATGGCTGAATACAAGGAGCAGGCTACTTATATGTTTAACAACTTCGAATTGAAGAGATGGCTTCACGGAGACGAAAATCGTCGTCGTATGCTGCTAGTCAAGGTGCGAATTTTTGTTTATTGCCGATTTTATGTAGTAAATTTTTATAGCGAGATTATGAGACGTGTATTAATCTAACCTATTATGAAATGTTGACATTGTCGACAAACAACTTTAATACAATTTATACACTTTACAGTCTCTCCATCAACATTGTGCGTTTTTGTTTTGTTGTGAATTCATTATTCTCTTCTCAGCTTCAGCTTGTATTCAGAAAGTGATATTGTAAAAATTTATTCTACTTGGCGGTAGACAATTTCGGATGCAATCTCGAAATCCATGTATGGAATATGCTGAAATATCTAATCACAAAATAATTATTTCAGCTAAAGAATGATTTGCGGAAGCTGGGATTATCGAAGCGGGCGACACGAGCAGGACTCGTTCAGCTTGCAATGAAGCCATGCGTGATTCTAAAACGACTGTCGGTTTCCTGTTACAGGTAAGTTTCTGTTCGGTTTTCTGTAAAGCCGTGTAAATACGGTTAACAGTGAGAACACGTAGCGAATGCGAATAACGGACATTTATATTTCTATTTGTAAGCTTGTTGCTTTTTTTTTATTACACAGAGCGTTTGATCAGATTCAGTATTCGCAGCATAAAGTGTTTAACTTGTGCTATTTGTTGAAGCAATAACGAACTTTCGTATTCGGTGTTCGTTCGTAAATGTATATCCAATTTAACATAAATGTTGTATCAGAGTATGGACTGTAAATCATATTTGTAGTTACATTTCATTCACAGTTTATGACATGTTAGTTTTGCATAAAATGAGAAACGAATTATTTCTGCTGAGAAAAATATGGTAGTGATTTCGATTTTTTTTACACGAGACGCGAATAATAACAAGATGTAGCAATTGTTAATTATTAAGAGTTAATTATTGTGAATTAATTTAATTATAATTTGAAAATATTTTGTGACTGAAGTATTTTATGTTTTTAAAACTAAAGTACAAAAATCGTAAATGAAACCGTATCTCTCGAATCCTTCTACATTCTTCTCATTTATTAGTAGGATTTTCACATGGGAATTATTTTTCTAAATTACAAAACTATTGTTAATATTTTTTATTTAATATTTATTTTTTTATGTGTGTATTATTAGGATGCATCTAGACTATCTAGTCTTCTTACAATCCCCTGTATGGATTTCCGACTTTTTTATCGGGTCACAATATAATGCGTTACTAGACTATCTATCGAACATCAAGCCGCGAACCGAGCCTGTGTCCACATTCAAAGATTTTACATCCACATTATCGAAACAAATATATTATAGATTAATATCATTGATTAAAATCATTGATTATGAATATAAATTGAATATAGATTAGATGTAGGCTCGCGATTCGATGTTCGGCTTAATATTGATCTGAACGCATGCTCCTTATATGCTTTTAGAATTATAGAAATTTAGAATTTTATAAATTTGTTTCTTCACATAAAAAAACGTTTAAGATATAATTTTTATAAAACACGCGAGACATAATATATATTATGCTGTAAATATATAATACATATCTTGTGTTTTATAAAAATGATAGATTTAAAAAAGATATATACATACATATATAATATCATTTTTAAATTAAGATTTATTTTGAGAAAAACATTTATGGAAAAATGTGAGTCAGTACATAGAAAGTATTCTTTACAGATAGTTTTTCAAATATTCTTGGCATGTACATACATAGTAACAAATTAATTTAAATGCTATCATGCAAGCTTTGGCATTATCTTGCTTTAAAAAAAATACTTCAACATTTTTTACATGTATATTCCATTTTTTCACATTTAATTTATTATAGGTAAAATTTTTGAATTTTCGAAGCGTTTAGAGTTTCAAACAGGGATCCGGACTGAAAAGTTTTTTCGATTCGGTTTCGGTTCCGATTTAATAAAATATCAAATAAATGTTCCGATTTTAGTTTCGGGTTTTTTTTACCAGTAAAGAAAACCGAAACCGTAAAAATTACGGTTTTTAATGGTTTTTTTCTAACTTACTTGCTTTATTTTAGTTTATTATTCTTTAAATTTGTTTTATTAAGAAGAAGAAAGGAAAGAGGAAGGAGAAAGAGAGAAGGAAAAAGAGAGGGAGAAAGAGAGAGAGAGTGTTCACTCGTTTAATCTAGAGTATGGTCAACGCGATGCTGCAAACGCTTTGAAGCGTTTTTTAATTGGTCAGTTTGTAAAATTCTTTCTTCTAATTGGTCCATCAAATACTTCAAAGCATTTGTAGCGAGACTTCGACCATAGCCTTAGAGAGTCTAGTCGAAAAGAGGCGTCAATTGATCGTGACTTTGAATAAAAATTACGTAAACATTATTTTAAGTATATTTCTCTCAGTTTTTTTTTACAACTTATTTGATTCTTATGGATAGATCTCACTTACATGAAGTTTACATATGTATTCTTGAATTTCATGATTTAGAATAAATTCTTGCAACAAGAATGTTGACGAGGAAGATCTAAATAAAAGAAATACTATATCTTAAAAAGGTTTACATTAAATATGTCTCGTGATCCCGCCAGATTTCTTATATCATATAGATGTTGATATTTACATTCTGGTTATTAAGAGAGCTGGCGATGGTAATATTGGATTGAACATTGATTGAACGAAGGAACGGGCAGAACAAAGATTAAGAACAAGAATAAAGATTAAAAATTAAGAACTGAAAAAAGAATCGAAAAAGAAAAAAACCATAAACCCAAAAAAACTCTAACTCTAAATTCATAAAATTTTGCCAGTTTGATTTCGGTATTATAGACAAAATTTAAATATGGTTTCAGTTCACTAAAAGAAAAGTGTTCCGAAATGGTTTTCAGTTCCGATTTCGGTTCGGTTCTTGGTTTCAAAGATAGATACGTACTTTCAAGTCAAGGAAGAGGTCCTTAGTTGTATGCGATGAAAGAATTCACTCTCACCACTATAACTTTTTGCTTTAGTTTTTATGTCACTTTACCCTCCTTCCTCCTGTTTATGTGAGTCCCAATTCTCAGAGACCACGATGGTCTCAAGTGTTTCAAGGGTTGAAGAAATATCGACAGTTTGAATGGAACTGTTGTATTGACTAGACATTCATTGCTTCTTCACTGTGTCGTAGGATTGAATAAATTAAAGTTTTTTCCACGACGATATTATTTGTATTTGAAAGTGCGATTGATAATAGAAAGAAATGTTTAATAACAATTGGTGTGAAATGCTACGGAATATTTCTAAATACGGATAATTGTTTAGCGTTGTTAATTCTAATAGCATATTATCATTCATTCATTATTATCCGGAGGGTAGCCATTGAGTCTGCATAATAATTAAAGGTATCTACATTAATAAATTAGATCTGTATTCAGAAACGCTTTTACGATGTTAGTGTATATTTGGTACATAATTCACGTTACTATACTATTTCATACATAAACACATATTTATCAATAAAAGTGAGTTCTGAATGACAGGCCATAAAGTTTAAGATAAATAGCGATGTAATTTTAGTACATGTTTACATAAAGTTTAGTTAGAATCTATTTTTTCTGTTTCACGAAAAAAATGCTTTTACTAAAGTATCTAAAAAATTTAGCTACATATTGATTTGAAAATAATTTTATTGCATTATCGATAAAATAATTATGTAGGACGCTCAAGCTTATTGCTAAAAGTTGTTAAACTTTCTTACATTACTTAGCATTACTTCTCATACTTGAGTTTTCTATATAATTATTTTGAAGTTTCAACAAAATTATTTTCATCTGTATTTAATAAAATTTTTTTAGATATTTCAGTAAACATTCTTTCCGTGTTACCATCCTTAAGGAAACGAGAAGGATCTTCGGACAATTTTTGAACTATTTTTTAATAAAATAATTTTATTTAGAATTTATTTAGAAGCAGTAGCGACTTAAATTTGACACTATAGATTTAACAGTGTTCGTAAGTATATAATTATACAGTGCCCGGGAAATTTAGATAAAGCGTGTAGATAGAGAAGATTAAACTGGCAATGAGTTGAAAGCAAATTACTGACAATGAGTGCTGTACATTTTGCAATCCTTGTAAATTACGAGAAATCAATCACTATAGATCATCGAATGAGCGCATGTTCGCCCAACCTACCACTAAATACAAGCGCGCGGCGTGATACGACCACCTAGCATGGGGAATTGTTTTCTTTCATTGTTCATGCATAATTATTGCTGTCTGTAATAAATGTAAACAATTCCTCGTTTAGTAGTCATGATCTATGAATGTATGTACATTCAACAGGAACCCGGGCGAATACATGTTCATTTAACGATCTTTAGAATTAATTTGTCGTAAATTATTATTGCGAAAATTACAAAATAATATAGGACATTTAAATTCATTCTATTTGCATACGAACGCATATCAACCAGCTACCTTGTATATATTTGTTTTTATATGAAAAATTTTTTTAAATAGTAAATAATGAAAGATGCGAATTGGAATGGATGCATTTAAGAATAGATACATTTAAGGATGTCCTGTGCATAGCACAGTATTGTATAATAAATGATTATCAAAAACGAATAGGCGTGCCTCTTTATCGAAGATTGATATATTGCAAACTTAATTGACGAATTAATGGATTTTGATTTTTAAGCGCATCTCGCAAATCTCTCGATTCTACATGTAAAAATAACGTAAACAAATTCGAATTGGAAATAAGTTTTGTAGATTTTATTGTCAATAGTAAATCTTCGTACTAGTAATTTTATTATTATGAAATCTTAATAAGACACACTGTTAAATTCATAATATCAAATTATATCCAATTACATTTTAAATCATTTCTATCGATCACAGCTTTTATTCAATATATTTAGTTAATTTAATTAAAACAATGGAGTAATAAAATTGTTAAACAATTTAACAATTTTAAAAATGTTTTAATAAATTAAAACATATAAATAATATGGTTTAATAATAGTAAATTAATAATAATAAAGTAAAAGGAATGAAACAATAACTTTTAATATTCGATAATCAGAAACATATGTTTGTATTAAATGTCAATATTAAAAGTTATTGTTTGACTCGTAGCTTTTCTACTTTAATATTATTTACTAAGTGCATACGCTAATATGGGTGTTGGTTATTTTGAAATTAACCACAGCAGTGGATTTATATTATACATAGGTACATAAAAGATTTATATTATACATAGATACATAAAAGAGGAATAACTTTGCTTCTTTAATATCTAGCAGGGTGACTATGATTATGATATTTATTATAAGAAAACATGAAATGTTAATTTACCAGATAAAAGAGAAAAATATAAGGTAAATGTTGAGATGGAGGGAACCAATGTCGATGACATATGTTTTTAAAACATGTCATGATCCTGAGTGACTTCTAATAGGTTTTAGCCATCGCTCGTTATTTGTTAAGTTATTATTAGTCAAAGTTAGTAATTATTGCCTGCTTATGAAGAATCAGGAAACTTTAAATAGGGAGAAAGATATAAATGGATGAATTCAAGAAATACAACTTTTTTCACGCGAAGCGACTTTCACCCTCCTGTCAAGGGACGTGCGACTTTCCGCGTGACGCAACTTTCACTATACCTCCCCCCCCCCTATCAAAGTTATCCCTCGCTTCGCACGTTCTTTGACAGGAGGGTGAAAATCTTCCCTCTTGGCAGGGGAGGAGGTGAGATGAGAATCGAATTCGGATAGAAAGTCGTGTACCTCTATGTGTTACTATATAAAAATAAAAATTATATCAGAAAATAACGTTTTCGTCGGCGCTGGCTTCCTTTATATTGCATAACAAGCGACGGCTGTCGCCAAACTGTTGGAAATCATTCAGGGTCATGACAACATATGTCATCGACGCTGGTTCCCTCTCAACATTTATCTTATATTTTTCTGTCTTTTATCTCGTTAATTAGCATTTCATATTTTCAATTTACCAAATATAATATTAAATTTGAAAGAAAATAAAAATGTTGAATAAGATTAAAAAGCCGAAGCAAAAAAAAATTTCTTTCTCTGAAACTAACTAGTCTCGAGAAATATTAGATTCGCTGCAATGAATATTAGATTCGCTGCAATGATGCATAAATCTCGTTGTTTCAGCGATATTCGATTCGTCCGACATACTACTACGCGCAGAAAGATAATACACGGTACAGAGCAATTATGTCCTCCAACCGCATAATTTCCTTTAACGGCGGAGAGTACCATCGATTCGTTCGCGCATTGTATTCATGAATTCGACGTTGGAAGGTAGGTACGAATAAAAAAAAGGTCTTGCGATGATACAGTAAAAGAATTTCCTTGTAAAAATAATCAGTGTTGCTATATTCTGTCGCCCCCCTGTCGGAGAACAACACTGCGACGTTCGGTCACACTATAGCATGCGTTCACGGGAAAGTATCTATCTTTGACGCGATATTCATGAGAAAATCCGAAATCAAATGGTTCTCGTTCTTTGATGCATTATGGAATGTAAAATTCCCAAGAAATCCATGAATGATTTGAAGTTGCTGGCTGAAACGTCCAAGACCAAACGCAATGGTGACGCTAAAGAAAAAAAATAGTCAAAGCGAAGTATCGTTTTCAAGTATTCCTTTGCCAACAGATGATTTGTAAAAATCTTTTTCATCCATTCCAAGACTTCCTTGATCGAACGTGATTCAATCAGGCGCGATCGTGTGCGTGCAAGTAATAATCGTTATTCATCTTTCAAAATGGTAATTAATAAATTTCTAGGATCAATGTGCATGAGTATCTGCTCTAAAATAAAGAAGTTCTTTGTTATTTAATGTAGTTAGTATATTGTTAATTAAATTAATATTAATTAAATAATATTAATACAATCAATTAATGCTTATATTCGAACAAACACAGAATGACAATGTGAAAATTAATTTATTTAAATCAACATAATTATAAACGCAGACGTTTCGATCCTGTTTCGGATCCTTATCAATGCATAATATTGTAAATTATTAACAAAATGCAGTTTACAAACAATTTACATGGAGCATTAATAAGGATCAGAAGTAGGTTCGAACAGGTATTAATTGATTGTACTGGTTTATCTCAACTGAGCTTTAATAATTAATTAAAATTTATTATGCTTCAGCATATTTACAGCCAAGAAGGGGACTTGGTTTACATAAATTCTTAACTCATTCATACATCCATATCTCGTCCACAAACGCACATATATTATTATAAAAATTATTGCTTATTCCTTTACTTTCCTATTTTTTTTTATTAAACCCTCTGACTTTGCTTCTTTACCTACTTTATTTCATTTTATTTCTTTTTGCTTTATCTGCTTTTCTCTCTTATTTATATCTACTTTTAATGTTATATACTCTCGTTCAATACATACATACATATCTATGTCACAGTCTTGTCACCGTCTATCATTATTAACCGAGCTTTAATTTATTAATTATATTGTAAATAATATTAATTTGCACATATTGCGCAGCAGAACTGATTTGTTTCTTAAACAAGG